AGTCTAAAATAATGAGTTCAAGGGTGTAGAGCCCAACTAATCCAGCCCCTTACTCCATTTCGTTGACACAAAAAATAATAATAAGTGTGTCTGCTGTTTGTAGAGTTGTTTAATGATCCTCTGTTGGGACTGAAGGTTTTTTATTTTACTTGATTTGATTTAACGCTGTAACTGAAGTCACTGTTTGTGTTTCATGTTTCTCTTTCCTTCAATGTTTGTGATTATTAACAGCAGGTGTTCATCAGTGTCTGAATTCACTTATTAGTTTTCATTAACTCTGTCAGGTGAACTATATTAGTGAACTAGAGTATGGAATAGTGAACAAAGGCACAAAGTGTGATTTCAAACACAGACTTCTAGAATGCACTTTTTTTGCACATTTTTAATAGAATATTACTGTTTTAGTGAACAAAATTTTTTTTACAATAAAATTTGACAGTTTTTTAACAACAATTTTTTACATTGTATACAATACTTGAAGAAAAGTACATTGTAAACATAATATACGTTTTTTGCATGTTAAATATATTATTGTTCCCCTCATATTACGTAAACATTATGGTTTGTTCCTTTTCAATTTAAAGAAAAGTACACCATTATTTTGTTGTACTTACACGGTACTTTTCATGTTGAATATCTGGTTGTTACCCCCTTTTTACCCAAGCATTACAGTTTGTTTCCTTATACCTACGAAAACGTTTTTTATACCTACACTGTACGTACAGAAAAGTACACCGTTATTTCATTGTACTTATGCTGTAATTTTCGTGTTGAATATCTGGTTGTTACCCCCTTATTACCCAAGCATTATAGTTTGTTTCCTTATATCTACAAATACGTTCATTATACTTTTACAATACGTACAGAAAAGTACACTGTTATTTCACTGTACTTACGTGGTACTTTGCTTGTTGTAAAAGAAAGCGTTATCAAAGTTTCTGTAGATGAATCCATTAACACTAACATGGCAAAATGTGCTTTTTATTTCTGAGTTAAATTAACATTATAAAGTACCAGGGCTGTTGAAAAAAATCATTTTACAGACAAATACTTGCCCAACTAATAATTAGTGTTTTTGCAAATAAAAATGAATTGTTTTGGATTTATAAAATATTTTTGTTTAACTTGTTTATGCAGTGCACAGGAAAAGTGATCAAGCTTGACACTGTTTACTATTCTCTTTAAATTTTCTAAGAGAAATATATTAGTATGTGCTTTAATTCATATGTGTTAGCCTATGTGAATCAGTTATATCTTATGTTCAAGCTGTAATTTGCGCATGTAAAACTGAACGTCTTAAAGCAGATTGTTTTTTTTATTATTGACAGTTATAAATTCTAATTTAAATGAATGAATAAGTAATATTTTTCGGTTAAGTCTCATTGTTCTTGTTTAACAAAGGTTAGTGAGGTCATTTTGCAGCACATCACAGAGACAAAAGATGCCAATGGCACACTCTTATGAACATGTGAATGGACATGTTATAGTTAGGTGCTTAAAGTCTGTTAAAAACTGTAAACTGCTGATACATTTTCAATGTACTTGAGCTTTTCAGACTTTACCTTACTAATTGCTTCACAAACAGCTGAAATGGTTTATTTTTATTGGCTATCATCATCATCATCAAACGTTTTCCACAATGTTAGGTTAACAGTGTTTAGTAACTTACAAATATCTGATCCAAAAGGTTTCTTATTTTAAAGAAATATGACTGATTGTGACTTAATCTGCTTTCCTATTGGTTTCATGAACTGGTTTGTGCATTGTGTCACAACGTGATTGAAACATTTACTGTTATTGGCTTTCGTCTGACTCAAAGTAAATCAAAAGCATCTGTATTCATCCTGTAATGTCTAGGTTTTGAATAGAATTTTTGGGCTTATGCTAATTGGGTATAATATATTTCAGGCTTTTTCTAAATAGTCATAATTAATTTTTAAAATGATTCTAGTGAAGATAAGCAGTTTTATAAAATTTTGTATGTTTGTTTGACAGTCCACAACAAGATCCTTAAACAAGATCAAACAAGCTTGGCACAGAAGAGGTCAGTATGTGTAAGTCATGGCTGAAATGTTGCATGTGCTTAGCCATCGTACAAATCTATGTCTAAGATTCATAAGGCTGTGACTGCATCAATCTCTAAATAAATCTTGTGCAACCTTCAGGGTGCTAATTATTTACACTATAGGTATTATAGCCAGTAATTATCTTTGATAGTATTCCAGGATTTGAACTTTTCTGCGGGGGAAGTTAACAACAATGTGATGTTTTTTTTATAGACGCATATGAGGAAGCTCCACTCAAACATCCACAAGCAACTGTAATGTCTGATTTGCAGACAGATGAGGAAGATGATCTCCCGTCATACACCTAAAGAAAGAACAGGTTTGTTTGCAATTATTTTAAACATACTGTCAACATTATTTCATTAATCTATTACAACCTGGGAGTTTTGCCCTGCACTATACTAAAATTATGTTTTGTTTTGTAAATGTATCTGATCATGGTACATATGGCACAACTATAGAAAAATTATTTTAACAAAGAGGCTGGAGAAAAAGCACATATGAAGATTTCAGAAATCGATGCAGACCACCATCAAGATGCACAGATACTGTACATTCCAGTATGCCTATGAACATTTACAGTCCTTGTTCCAGTGCAGTTGGAGATCAAGATAGAACTTGTTGCAACTCGTCATGTGTTTTTAGGAATGCAAGACATCGCTTAACTTGTAAAGGTTTAATGCAGCTTGAAAGTAAAGCTCAACTAGAGAATATCGGCAGTATCTAACCCACTGTAGTATTTACATATACATACATCATACAAGTTGTATGAGAATAAGCTACTGGTTAATTTATACTAAGTCCTTATTTTTCTTTTTTAGCACGACTGACTGAAGTTTTAAAATCATGCGACATCAAAAAGGAGCAGCTGGGCCTGATTCTCAAAAACCAGCAAAACCAAAACAAACATGATGAAATTTCAGATGTAAACACTAGGGATGTATCGGTATCAGAATTTCACGGTACGATAATACCTCGGTATGAATGGCACGGTACAGTATTTATTGAATAATTTACAGGAAAAACAAAACTAATGAAAAGACTTTAAAAAGTGCCAAAAGTGTTTATTTACCTTAGCACTGAACATATCAATGACATACAAATTAGCCATCTATCTGTAAGTTTCGAAACAGGAACTTCAATTTTTCAATTTTAATAACAAAAAACTATTAAAACATATAATAAAATAAAGTTTCAATTTAGTATTGTTGAAAACTCATCACATTCAACATTTAATCACTCAGATGGAGATGTTTTTTTTAAGGAAAATTATCATATAACTATAATCTAGTCCCCTGCAACAGAAAAAAAACCCTCTCATTTGGGACTGAGGTTTCTGGGACAGAGAGATATAATTTAGCCATGGTTGACAGCAATGAGTAACGTTGTGCATTGTCTTTCCACCACTTGAGAGGACAAGCCATGAGTGAGATAGAGGTCTCTTTGCGGTACAAGTCAATGTCTGCATCAATCTAACAAGTGTACTTTGTTTTGCAGTTCCCATGACTGTTTTTAGTCATAGTCGTATCATTGGGTGACATTTTTCACCACAGTCTGGCAGTGCCTGCATATTGTTTTTTTCTTTGTCTGTTACCTTTTCTTCTTTTTCGTATCTTTTTAGAAAGAAACCGAAAGGCTTCCACACATCCGATTTAAAACCCACTTTAGGTTCGATCATTTCCAGCTCTTCCCCCCCAACCCCCCCCCCCCCCCCCCTCCCCCCCACTAGCAACACACTCCATTTCCCCATTACAGAATCTGTAGTGACAACAGACCGCAAAGAATGATGGGAATTGTAGTTCCCGCTACCTCCTGTTCGATTCATTCGCCTAAGCAAACTTTTCTCATAAATATAGTTTTATTGAGTCATGCGCCTACGGTAAAATTGAAAAAAATTACTATTGCGGTATGACGGTATTTTTAATATTGTTACATCCCTAGTAAACACATTTGACCATCCTTTGTTCAATTTCATTTCAAATTAACTAAAGGAGCAGCCCGAACAAATTAAGAAATTGGTAAGTTCAAGCTTTCGCTTATTTCAAAGTGTTTTAAGTTTTTTTTTTACTTTTTTTTTTTTTGCACCGTAGGTAGCCTACTTTTTAATCATTGGCGTGCACTTCCCACTGTATTAGTCAGTAAGTTGGTTTTAAATATACATTCCAATACAATTAGGGGCTGTTCCATCTGTGTATTTCTTTGAATCATTAACGTAATATAGTAAAAATTATAAATATAAAATTGCACAAGACATATATAAAGATAGCTATATATATAATCATCTCACTCATGTCTTGCGGTTTGTGCAATTTTTTCAGCTCAAGTTTATTTAAAAATTAAGTTTAAGTCTTTATACGTACAGTATGAGCCAAATGCCAGTGAACCGCACCCCCGCGGAGCAGCCAGTATTTCTGGTTGTGTCAACCCAACATCGGCCGGACAGCATTTCCAATCATATGCCGACGTTGTGGCGACATTGCCAACACTCATCGCGTGACATCGGGCCGATGGAAATTGTATGTGTGCTGTCTGGTAATGGCCAAAAATAACAATTTTAACTATGCAAACTCTGATTTAGCTGGACACCTATTCCTCCATATATCACACCAATTAGATGCAAACTAGATGTATGATTTGCAATGTAAGGAAAACATACATGTAAGAAAAACAGTCTATGTTGTGGTGTATGCAGTCCAAAAACTGAGTGCTGCAGTCTCTCAAAACTTAAAAGTTTGGTTAACAGTATAATAACTACCATTCATTCCTTTTCTTGTCAGCTTAGTCCCTTTATTAATCTGGGGTCGCCACAGCGGAATGAACTTATCCAGCACGTTTTTTACGCAGCGGATGCCCTTCCAGCCGCAACCCATCTCTGGAAAACATCAGAGGTAAAGTGAGGGATCAATGTTTCAGCAGCAATAAAAACACCAGCCATTTTGAACCATGGACATTTTATTGTGTTTCTCCTCAGAGGGTCAGTCTGGTGGCTGAGCCCGTCTCTTACAGGAATGAGAAGTGTTTTTGACTAACATCTCTCTCACACATCTACCCACAGCACATACACACCTTAGTAATCTATCACAAACCGGTTAATGTGATGCATATATGAACACCCTGGGTGACAATTACACATGGTTATGGTGATCCACTCACATCAACATCTAATGTGTGTGTGTTTTTAAAGTTACAGTTAGTGTGGCATGGACATCACGATTAGTTTGGCATGGCATCAGGGGAACTAGGAGAGCAGGCAGGAACCTGTGCGCTCTGGACTCTCTGTCTTTCTCGTTCTCTCTCCAGGCAGATCAGCAAGCACTAGTGACAATCACAATTACAACTGCAAAACAGCCACAGGTTACAGGCAAGATCAGTCAGAGGAAGACTCTGGTCAGATGTGTGGCGTTTCTGTTTACCTACACTGTTTCACTGGTAGAATTTGATCTCGGCGTCCACACAGTCGAAGAACAGATCCCCAAGCTCCTGGCCCTGAACCTCGCCTCTCAGCATGGCCTCGATCTCCTCCAGACACTGGGACTCAAGGTACCTCATAGTGTCCTGTAGAGAGACTCCAGCATCCTGACAGACAGCAATAAATCATTTATAATTTTAATCAGCAGCTCTGTAGGTCAGGTGGGGGTACTTTTAGCTTAGCTTAGCATAAATCATTGAATTGGATTAGACCATTAGCATCTAACTAAAAAAATATTCAATTTTTGATATTTTACCTATTTACCTGCTTGTTAGTTCGTTTCTGGGTTCAAGCCGCTACTCGTTTGAATTGCGGAAATATTTGTTTCTGATCACTTTTTAGTCATAACACACATTACAGTGAATTTGATATAAAATCAAGGTGTACACATCAGTCTCTGCACTCACTGCATCACAAATTTATCAAAACAATTTATCAAAAATGAGTCACTTTCTGGCCATCTGATATTAGGCATGAATATATATATATACAGCGATCGTGATTTTATGAAGTATTACATCACTTTGGAAATGTATATTATTACCATTTGATGAGTTTCCTCATACAATCGGAGAGCTAGACTCTTCTGTAGTTAAAATGTATGCAGCACAATATTACTTGCCATTATGTAGCTGGGGACCAGTTTTAGGTGCTGGATAATATAATTGAATCAAAGTTCCTCGATTATTATGTACTATGCCAGAATGAGAGTATAGTCCCTAGACATATAGGCCTAGAAAATAGCAACTTTTAATTTTACATTATGTGACTTCAGTAGCGTCAAGCTTTAAATAGAAAAATTATTGAAACTCTTTGGTCATTACTCAGCGAGATGCAAATGGTCTAATCCGATTTAATAATTTATGCTAAGCTAAGCTAAAAGTGCCAACACCAGACCTGGAGATCTGTTGAATGGATTCATAAATGTTAAAACTCAACTGTGTAAACGTTTGCAAAATAAGCCTATTTTACAATAAATAAAGCATCAAGTGAATCTCCACAGTTCACTGAAGAATGAACATTAGATAGTTGTTTATTCACTCTCAGACCATCCAGGTAATGTTTAGCTGAAACCATGGTCCTTAGGGATTATATAAATGTAAATATTTTTATATTTAACAGACCGTATATTCTGCCCCCTACCCCTAAACACAACCCTCACAACTGCAAAATAAACATTGTGCCGTTTTATATATTCAAAATATTTTATTCTGTATGATTTCTGAGCCATTTCTTCCTGAGACCAAAATCCACACAACGTCAAAATTTACTGGTATTACTATACTTGTGGGGACACGTGCAAACACACACTAACACAAGCACACAAACATGCAAACACCGCACTAAACTGAATGCTCAGTAAAAGTTAGGTGTTAGTTTACCCAAGAATGAACATTGGATAATCATTTATTAACTCTCAGATCATCCTGTGTGATATTTTTTCTTTCTTCAGTAGAGCATTAACGGTTTTCAGCTGAAGTCATAGTTCTTAGTGACTTATAAAATGCAAGTCAGTGACTGTTGGTACTTTGAGGGTAGAAAAAGAAGATATACAGCCAAAATAAAATGAATACTCATGGCTCCTGATGGTTCTTCAGATCTTGTGAAGCAAATTTATTATTAGCAGATTTTTTTTATCTTTAATCTAAAGGCTCTGAAAATTTTAGCACAGGAGCAGGTATAAAACTAGCACATGAACTGGTGCTGTTTGTTTTGCTCAGATTGCAAAGACTAGAAAAATGAAACACATTTTACAAGTCATCTAGAGTTAAACAGTTGAGGTTTAGCATTTTTGAATCCATTCAGCCGATCTCTGGGTCCGGCAGGAACGCTTAGCTTAACATAAATCAATAAATCAGATTAAATAAATAAAAATCATAAAGTGTTACGATAACTTTTCTTATTAAAAGTGGTCTCTTCTGTAGTTATGTACTAAGACTAACAGAAAATGAAAGTTGCTATTTTCTAGGTCAATTTGTCAGGGACATTTACTTTATTATTCCCCTTCGGGTGGGGAACTCCAATGCTATTGGTGGATTTGATCTTAGAAAATCCACGAATGGGAGGATTCGGTTCAGAAGCCACTTGTCTGAAAGAGTATGAAACAGGCCAATGAATTGGCAGCGTAAGCTTGCGCACGTGTGCTTCATTGCCAATTATCTCCGCATATAAGCACAGGTGGAGCAAGCATTCGCTATACTTTTCGCTTCAGAGACTTTCTGATCGATGATGGTTCCTCTTGCTGACTACAGCGATATTTGAGCGAACGAGTGTCTCCCGGTCCAGAGTGGGTATACGCGGCGAGAGACGGTCGAGCTGGGATTCTCCCTTGCCTGGCGTTCTTTTCAGCACTTTTCCGTTTCCCCAGATGTGACAGCACGAACCCTGCCAGTTGCTCTGTGTGCTTCGCCAATGGCGCACGAGCGCTGGGGGGGTCGGTCTTCTTTCCCCCAACCCTCGTGCCCCCTCTCCGGAGTTAGGGTGTGGAGCCAGAGCGAATCGCTCTTCCGCAGGACCCTCGCGCTTCCTGGATCAGCACACCCACTCCGCACTGCCCCACCGCTGGTACGTCCGCGAATGTAGCGATGAGTCCCTTAGCGAGGGCTCTGCCCTTTGCGGTGGCTCATACGCACAATTAGACTCAGTTATGCGATCCAGTTCGCGAAATGGCCCCCCAAGTTCACGGGTGTGTATTTCACCAGGGTCAGCCCCCTGTCCGCCCCTGTCTTGCAAGAGGAGATTGCTGCCCTCCTGGCGAAGAGTGCAATTGAGTCGTTCCCTCCAGCTGAGATGGAGAGCGGGTTTTACAGCCCGTACTTCATCGTACCCAAAAAGAGCGGTGGGTCACGCCCAATCCTAGATCTGCGCATTTTGAACCGCTGTCTGCACAGGCTGCCGTTCAGAATACTCACGCAGAGGCGCATTCTCCAATGCGTTCGTCCTTTGGATTGGTTTGCAGCCATAGACTTGAAGGACGCGTACTTCCTTGTCTCCATTCTCCCACGCCACCGTCGGTTTCTGCGGTTTGCGTTCGAAGGTCGAGCGTGGCAATACAAGGTCCTCCCCTTCGGGCTCTCTCTGTCTCTGCGGGTCTTCACCACACTTGCGGAGGGTGCCTTAGCGCCCCTTCGGCTCGCGGGCATCCGTATACTCAATTATCTCGACGACTGGCTGATTTTAGCCCACTCGTGGGAGCAATTGATTATGCACAGAGACAAGGTACTCCGGCACCTCCACCTGTTGGGGCTTCAGGTCAACCGAGAAAAGAGCAAACTCGCCCCTGTGCAGAGGATCTCTTTTCTCGGAATGGAGCAGGACTCGGTCACCATGATAGCGCGCCTTTCTGGAAAGCGTGCTCGCCTGTTGCTGAACTGTCTGAGAGAGCTCCACAGCAAAGTAGTAGTCCCACAGAAATATTTTCAGAGGCTTCTGGGGCATATGGTATCCGCAGACGCCATCACGCCGCTCAGATTACTCCATATAAGACCACTCCAGCACTAGCTTCGCGATCGAGTCCCTAGACGCGCATGGCACGCGGGCACCCACCGAGTCTGTCACTGCGCTGTGTCGCCGCGCCCTCAACCCTTGGAACGACCCCTCGTTCTTACAGGCCGGTGTGCCTCTAGGACAGGCGCCCAGTCATGTTGTTGTTTCAACAGATGCTTCCAACACAGGCTGGGGGGCCGCGTGTTGCGGGCATGCAGCTGCGGGCCTGTGGAAGGGTGCCCAGTTGCATTGGCATATCAATTGCCTAGAGCTGTTGGCAGTGTTCCTCGCTCTCCACCGTTTTTTTCCGGTGCTGGAGCAGCAACACGTGCTGGTCAGGACGGACAGTATCAACCGTATGGGGGGTATGTCTCAGCTCGCCCGCCGTCTGCTCCTCTGGAGTCACTCGCGGCTGAAATCGCTGCGCGCCATTCATGTTCCAGACAAGCTCAACCGTGCAGCCGATGTGCTCTCACGGCAGCAGATAGGCTTCGGAGAATGGAGACTCCACCCAGAGTCTGTTCAGCTGATATGGGCGCAATTCGGGGAGGCCCAGATCGATCTGTTTGCTTCCCCCGAGAACGCTCATTACAAGTTGTTCTTTTTCCCTGACCGAGGGCTCTCTCACCACAGATGCACTGGCCCACAGCTGGCCTCGGGGCATGCGCAAGTATGCGTTCCCCCCAGTGAGCCTGCTTGCGCAGTTACTGTGCAAGGTCAGGGAGGACGAGGAACAGGTTCTGCTAGTTGCGCCCCTCTGGCCCAACCGGACCTGGATATCAGAGCTTTCCCTCCTCGCGACGGCCCTCCTCTGGCAGATCCCTTTGAGAGAGGACCTACTCTCTCAGGGACAAGGCACCATCTGGCACCCTCGCCCCGATCTTTGGAACCTCCACGTGTGGTCCTTAGACGCGAGGAAGACTTAGGTAACCTACTGACTGCGGTGGTTAATGCCATCACCCAGGCTGGAGCCCCCTCCACGAGGCGCGCCCCGATCTTTGGAACCTCCACGTGTGATCCTTAGACGCGAGGAAGACTTAGGTAACCTACCGACTGCGGTGGTTAATGCCATCACCCAGGCTGGAGCCCCCTCCACGAGGCGCGCCTACGCCCTGAAGTGGAGTCTATTCACTGAATGGTGCGTCTCTCGCAGAGAAGACCCCCGAAACTGCCAGATGTCAATGTTGTGCTCTCTTTCCTTCAAGAGAAGCTGGAGAGCAGGCTGTCGCCCTCCACTCTGAAGGTTTACGTGGCTGCCATCTACACTTATCATGAAGTGGTAGCTGGCAGCACCGTGGGAAAGCATAACCTCATCATCCGGTCCTCAGAGGTGCTAGGTGAATTAATCCACCCCGCCCCCCTTTCATGCCCTCTTGGAATCTCGTCCTCGTTCTCACGAGCTTGCGTACAGATCCCTTTGAGCCACTCGAATCAGTATCTTTAAGATTTCTGTCCCTGAAGACAGCTCTGCTGGTCGCGTTGGCCTCCATCAAGAGGGTCGGGGACCTGGAGGCATTTTCGGTCAGTGACTCGTGCCTGGAATTTGGGCTGGATTACTCTCACGTTATCCTGAGACCCCGGCCGGGTTATGTACCCAAGGTTCCTACCACACCCTCAGAGA